TTCTTTCTTTCTTTTTCTTTCTTTCTTTCTTTCTTTCTCTCTCTTTCTTCTTTCTTTCTTTCTTTCTTTCTTTCTTTCTTTCTTTCTTTCTTTCTTTCTTCTTTCTTTCTTTCTTTTTTTTCCCTCCTGTTTTTTAATTTTTCTTTCGGTTTTGCCTGAAAAGGCATGTGCTTGCCAGAGAGAGACAGAGGAAGGGAGAGGGAGAAAGCACTCCCGGGGTACATGGTCACGCAGCAATTCCTTCTCCTCCATTTCTCTTTCTCTGCTCTTTTAGGGTTTGGGGGTACAGGCACACACAGCGGGTATGTTTCTCAGTCCCCAGGGGCTGGGATTCCACCCACGGTCAGCCATGTAGGAACTCGTCTTAACCAGCAGGCCACAGGGCCGGCCCGGATCCCTCCTGTCCTAAGAGATGCAGAAAGAGGTTTTCTAAATTCTATCATTTCTTCCTTAATTATTGGCCACAACCCTATCATAAGCAAGAACTAACTCCCTTCAGCTATTAGTTTATATCAAATTACAACTTTTGCAGGAGCATCAGGAGAAATACAGAATTCTTTAATTTTTTTTAAGAGAGATTTTTGCTGTAGGGTGCATGTGCTCGCCAGAGAGACAGAGACAGAAAATGAGAAACTACCCCCAAGAAGGGATGGTCACTCTGCAATCCCTTATCTCCCATTCTCCTCTTGGGATTTTGGGCAGGTTCACACACATGCCTGGTGTGTGTTTTAAGCCACTGTGTATGGGACTTGAACCGTGGTCAACTACGTGGAAGTCGTGATGTAACCAATATGCCATCTGCTCCTGGCCCCTGAATTCTTCTCTCTTTAAAAATTGTTTTAGAAAGAATTATTTAATTTAATTTATTTATTCATTTATTTTAATTTGGCTAGAGAGAGACATACAGAGAGAGAAAGAAAGTGAGAAAGCAAGCTACCAGGTCTGGGACTCAAACCGCGGTGGACCATGTGGAAGTGTCCAGAGCCTTAACCACCACACCACTTGCTGGCCCCCAATTTCTTTCTTTTTAGAGAGATTTTTGCTCTAGGTCACATGTACTCACCAGAGAGACAGAAAGTGAGAGATTACCCACAGTGGGGATGGCCACGCTGCAATCCTTTCTCCTCTGTTTTCCTCTCGGGATTTTGGGCACACACGCACACATGGCTGGACTGAGTTAGGGCTGGACTGAGTTTTAAGCTGCCGGGTTGAGGACTGGAATCGTGGGGGACTAGGTGGGAGTCCATGACGTAACCATTATGCCACCTGCATTTTTCTTTTTCTTTCCTTCTTTCTTTCTTTCTTTCTTTCTTTCTTTCTTTCTTTCTTTCTTTCTTTCTTCCTTTCTTTCTTCTTTCTTTCTTTTTTTTTTTAGAGTTTTTTGCTATAGGGTGCACGCGCTTGCCAGAAAGACAGAAAGTGAGAAATCACCCTCCAGGAGGAATGGCCACACCGCAATCCCTTTTCCTCCATTCTCTGGGGATCTTGGGCATGCATGCACATGTGTCTGGTGTGAGTTTAAGCCACCGGGTCTGAGACTTGAACTGCGGTAGACTACGTGGGAGTCCAGTGACATAGCCATTATGCTATCTGCTGTCCCCTTCATCTGCATTTTTCTTAACTTAGCGACCTCGGCAATATTACATTAGAGCCTCAAGTACTTTCTCCAGGTTTTCTTTTTCTTTCTCTTTGGAGGGCCACCGTGAACCCACAATCATTTATTTATGTGTCTGACAATTTTCAATTCACTACAGCTATTCGTTTTTTGTTGTTGTTAAAGAATTATTTTGATTTAACTTTATTTATTTATTTTAATTTGACTAGAGAGGGACAAAGAGAGAGAGAGAGAGAGAGAGAGAGAGAGAGAAAGCAAGCCACCAGGTCTGGGACTCATACTGCAGTTGGCCATGTTGGAGTTCAATGCCCTTAAATACTCCGCCTCCTGGGGCCCCTATTCTTTTTTTTTTTTTTTTTTTTTAAATTTATTAATTTAATTAACTTTTAAAAATTTTTGGTCAGAGAGAGAGAAAGTGCAAAAGCAAACTGCCAGATCTGGGACTTGAACCATGGTTGGCCATGTGGGAGTCCAGCACCTTAACCACCATGCTACTTGCTGTCCTCACAGCTATTCTTTTGAAGCTTGTTCTGCTTTTGGGTTCTTCAAGTTAGTTCCTGAGCCCTTTGGACATACATTAGTATTTTATGGGACCAGCAGATGGTATAATGGTTATGTCGCTGCACTTCCAATATAGTTGACCTTAGTTCGAGTCCCAGACCTGGTTGCTTCCTCACTTTCTCTCTTACTTTCTCTGTGTGAACTCTCTGGTGAGCACACATGTCCTGTATCAAATTTAAAAAAAATTCTAAAAAGCAAAACAAATAGAAAAACAACCTCGGTGGTGAAGAAGGGAGACACTGCCCACCACTCTGGGTTGGGAGACTCATTCCGATGCCCGTGTCTCTGTCTCTGTCAGGTAAGTAGGAGGGCTTTTATTTTAACCAAGCCGTCCATCCCTCCCTCTGACCTGCAGCCTGTCAGGTGCTGTCCCCTTCCCTCTAACTCTCTCTGCTCTGCTGAGGCTGGCTGCGCCTAAGAGGATTGGAGAATTTTCAAAATGGGACCAGGACTGGGTCAGAGAATAGGCTGTGGGAAGACGCGGAGCCAGGGTGGCCACGAGGGGGCAGCAGAGGGCCTGGGAAACAAGAGGGACAGAAAGAAGGGGTGTGGGTCCACCCTGCTGAGAGGAGAGAAACCCGGAGAGGAGGAAGATCTCAAGAGGGGACTGTGCGCCCTGCCTGGGTGGGTTAACAGGACTTCCTTACATGGTCACCGGAGAAAGGCTGGTCCCATAGCCCAGCGGCTGAGTGCTGTGCAGAGGGAGCCTGAGTGCACACAGCCAACTGGGGCTCAAAACTGGGGCTTTTGTTTGTTTGTTTGCTTTTTTGAGAGGTTTTCGCTATAGGGTGCCTGCGCTCGCCAGACAGACAGAGACAGAGAGACAGAAAGCGAGAAATCACCCCCCAGGGGGTTTGGCCACGCAGCAATCCCTTCTCCTCCATTCTCCTCTCGGGATCTTGGGCACGCCTGGCGTGAGTTTTAAACCACCGGGTCTGGGAGGCGAACAGCGGTGGACTACGTGGAAGTCCAGTGACATAGCCATTAAGCAAACTGCTGGTTCCCCAAAACTGGGGCTTTAAAGACACGCTAGGCATGTATGGCCATACCACCCTGAACGTGCCCGATCTCGTCTGATCTCAGAAGCTAAGCAGGGTCGGG